CAGTGCCGCCTCCACGAGCTCCGCCACAAGCGCCGCATCTCCGTCGCCGCCGCCTCCAAGATCCTCGCCAACCTCGTCTACAGCTACAAGGGCATGGGCCTCAGCATGGGCACCATGTGCGCCGGTGTCACCAAGGAGGAGGGTCCCGCGCTCTACTACGTCGACTCGGACGGCACGCGTCTCGCCGGCAACCTCTTCTGCGTCGGCTCCGGCCAGACATTTGCCTACGGTGTCCTCGACGCTGAGTACAAGTACGAACTCTCCGACGAGGAGGCCCTCGAGCTCGGCCGCCGCAGCATCCTCGCCGCCACCCACAGGGACGCCTACTCTGGTGGCTTCATCAACCTGTACCACGTCAAGGAGGCCGGCTGGGTCAAGCACGGCTTCAGCGACACGAACCCCATCTTCTGGAAGACAAAGCTCGAGAAGGGCGAGTTCTCCAACGTGACGGCGGATCTGGAGTAAATGGGACGGGGCGTGCTTACGGACATGGTTATGAGATGGGCGGGAGTTGGGCAAAGGCGCCCACTGTAACTTGTAAACTAGGATCAATCAAGTCGTGTTGCGCTCCATCAGTCGACGTGGATAAATACCGTGCTTTGCTCATACCCTACTGGTGCATTGCTATACGGCAAGGTGTGGCGTGTCTGCCTGAACACATCCGTTCCTTCCTTGATGGCCGCCAGGCAGCCACTGAGCACTGCGGTACTTAGGCCTGACTTGTGGTTCTCCTGCCAACAACCACTATACCGTGACGCATGGTGTAGTGGTTAAATCCTAAGAAATACCCGTTAGGACAGGCCCTCAGGGAAGTCCGAATCAGGGCGCGCAGGCAAGGAAGGCGCGTGGAGGGACTGGGGGTTCAACGCCGGCACACGGCAAAGGAGCAATCCTTTTTGTTTTTTTCTTAAGCTTCCAACCTGGACCAGTACTTGTTTTGCTCCGTACGCGAATCATCTCTATTCCAACCAAGGTCCCAATTCCCATGATGGGTTTGACATTTGGTGAGCAATACATGTGGTACACTATAATACAAGTCTTGTTACATCGTTACCTCCGCTTCACCCACCCTTTCGCACCCAAGATGCCTCCATCATCGCCTGTCGGATCAAGAGGCCATTTTTTGATCGAGTGCACCGACAGCTCGCTCTCATAGCCAGCCTCAAACATCTCCACACCAGTCCAAGCAATCATGGCTGCATTGTCCGTACACAGCTCAACAGGCGGCGCCGTGATCTCGATGCCGTTGTAGCCCCGCACGTCAAGGAACGCCCGAAGCACATGCATCAGATATCGATTGCTCGCCACACCGCCAGCGACAACCAGCGTCCGCACGTCTCGGAGCCCCATCTCCTCGTTGCCAAGCGCCAACACGACGCGGCTGGCCAGGTGCTCGAACAGGATGCGCATCGTGTCGCGGCCCAGGTCCCGCCGCTCGGCCTCGCTCATGTCGGGCCGCGCCTCGGCGATCCGTTGCACCTGGGACCCGAAGCCGGAAAAGTCGTAGCGCATGCGCCGCGTCGTCGCGAACGGCGGCGTCAGGTGCCAGCCGTGCGGGGAGCGGTACGTCGCGATCTCGTCGGCGCGGATGCGGGGCGGGGTGTAGGCGTAGTCGATGGCGCGGCCGTCGGCGGCGCGCGGGAAGACGAAGCGTTCCAAGAGGCGGCCGTACATGACGTCGTCTGTCGAGGCTATCAGGGACGCAGGGAGGACTTGGCGGGCGGCCTTGTCGAGTGCGTCGCCGATGGCGATGGCCGAGTCTGCCTCGGCGAGGATACGGTGGTCGTTGAGCGCGCGGGAGTGGACGAGCATCGTGTGCCCGCCCGACACGAGGAGGGAGAGAAAGGGAAAGGCGGGCTCGGGCCCCGTGCGCTTTGGCTCGGCAGGCCGAGCTGCGCCGTTTCCTGCCGCGGTTTTTTCGCCCCGCGCGAGCGCAGTGACGAGACGGGGCGTCAGGGCATGGGCTTGCATGTGGTTGACGGCCACGAGGGGCACCTGCCAGGCGGCGGCGATTCCCTTTGCTGTGTGGAGGCCTGCTGACAGGTTGGCGAGCATGCCCGGCCCTCGTGTCACGGAGACAAAGTCGGGCTTTTGCTTCTGCCGCCCGCGGACCGTGATTGTATTCGGCGACGTGCTCTCTGCGTCGGGGAGAAACGGCAGGCTCTCGTTGACGAGCTCCGCGAGGGTGGCGCCATGGCCGGCGAGCGCTATGACGGGAAAGACGCCGCCAAAGGCGCGGTTGTCTGAGGTGCGCTTCTCGTTGTAGTGGAGGATCGCAGCACCGTCGGGGTCCTTGGACAGGAGGGCTACGCAGGTGTCGTCGCAGGAGGTTTCAATGGCGAGGGTGAGGAGATGACGGTGGTGGGAGGTGCGTGCCAGCCATTGTGTGCGGAAGAGCGCTTGGCTGCGCGGTCGACAGGCATTGAGCCATGGTCTTGGAGCGCGGCAGAGGGCTCGCATCAAGATGGATTTCAAAGTGAAGGTTTCGATGCCAGCAGGGCCGCTGGAACCCGTCTCGTGCCAAACTCTTGGTTCGACCTCTTATCTTATCACTCCAGGACTGACCGAGGCTTCACCGAGCCCCTGAATCAAGAAGTATCACACCTCCCCATCAGGTTTGGAACACTTCTCACAACCCTTTGATCTGGCTATCCGTCTGGGACAGATCCTCAGATGGTTTTTGTTCTTACGTCTCTACACGTGCACTCGATGAATCATTGATTGCAGTTTTGGGGAAATCACAGTTTTAGCAGAATTCTTCTTTTTCTCTTTGCCATCTACACGATCTTTCCGATTCCTATCATTCCAGAACATCTCACTCAATGCTCCAATCACCCTCAAACTCTGGGTGCACGCTTACTTGCCCCAGCTGATGCTCGCTCCAATTCGTACCATCCACTCTCTGGCCTCCAATTGTCCAGTTCCGAATGACGATCCCAAGGGTCAGATTTCCCTGGCCAGGCGTGTAGTTGTTCATGTTCTCCCCGGCATCCATTCCCACCACGCTGTGCCCAAGTCTGACCGTCACATCGTCATGCATCTTTTCAAAGTGCACATTCTCAACGAGCAGGTCAAAGTTTTGAAGCGGCGCCATCGTCATGAGAGCCGCGCAGACACCCTCGCACACAAGATCACTGATGCGCAGCGACATCTTGCGCGACGGATCAACCAGCTTTGGGTCAGCGTAGAACGGGGACGCGCCCAGGATAGCCGACGGCACGTACGCGTTCGGCTGGATCCAGCGGTTGTGGATCAGCCGGACATGTTTGACGGACACGTCGCTGACGCGGCGTGGCTTCCACCCCATCTGGATAATGGCGTTGTTGCGCGCCTTCCAGACGGTCAGGCCCTCGAGCTGTGCCCCTGAATGGTACAGCTTGATGGCATCGTCGTTGACGTGCCAGAAGACGTCGCGCACCGTGCCCTTGTACATTTGCGTCCCGTCCGTCTGGAAATAAAAGGCCCCGACCTGCTTGTAGTCCTGGATGTGGCTCTGCACCTTGTTGTCCTCCTCGTGCGGTGTGTGGTTCATGGGGTGGAGATCCATCGTGATGAAGGGCGGCGCATTCAGGGTTGGTCCGATGCAATGCCACGTCTGGTTGTCCATGACTGACTGGTGCCAGAACATGCGTAGGCTGTAGCGGTCGTCCTTGACGGCAGTGCAGTCCTTGATCGTGCTGGCCATGTAGGCATAGTTTTCGCCAGACACTACGGCGTGGCCGACGGTGTAGAAGTCAGAGTGCCGGGTTGTGTATTCGAAAGCGCCTTTGATGTAGGTTCCCAGCTCGAAGTAGACGTAGTGTGTACTTGGAAAGAGTTTGATATGGTCTTTCCCGAGGATACCGTCTTTCTCTACCCAGTAAACCCCGGCCTCGAAGTACAGAGTTGGCTTCGATCCCAGTGCTTCCCGGGTCAGACTTCCCGGCTTCATCACTTGGGTTCCCGTTGACGTCTTTGAGGGAATAAGATCATCCGGAATCATGGGACTTGCGAAGATAAGGAGAGCGTTCTTGGGTTCTTCGCTGACTGTGACGCCGCCCTCAGTCACGTAGTCTGTGCCATTTGAGCGAAAAGTGTAAAGATCATCCTGAAACTCGACAGAAAATCTGGCGCCGGACTTTTGAGACGGGACCCGAATGACGACCGTGTCTGGCTGGGGGCTCCTAACCTCGAAGCCAAGGTCGACCGGCCGTATGACGATGTTTGAAGCCGGACCAAGTGCTGATCCATCGGAAGAAATGACGCGAACATCGACATCTCTGCGATACTGGAACTGAGTCCAGGCCATGCTGATCCCGGCGTCTATCTCAACAGTGACGCCATCGCCGTCGGTGAGGTTATATTGCTTGCCAGGCTGTGCGGGATCGAACATCTTCCCGTTGCCATTGCGAGGGATGGACTCGTACACAAAGGAACGTTGAAAACGGCTGGTGCGTGTCGGCGAAACGGATACTTCGTATCTGCGTGACCTTCGAACTTCATCAGGCGCCGCAGGTCTCTGGATATCGATGGTGGATTTGTCGTGCCACCAAGTCTTTACACCGGGAACACAGGCTCCAGATGAAGGGCCAGACAGCGTCGCCAGCAGGAGGAGAAGTGCGTTGAATGAAGAGAAATACATGGCGCTGATGATCGTGGAAGCTACTTGCTCTATCGTGAGGGATCCAAATTTCCGTAGCCATCAGCGCAGCTATTTGTGGTCGTATACTGGATGGCGATGCTCTCAGACTGGTAGCATTGCAATCACTTGGAAGCTAGGTTCTCGACGGGCAATTACCTGATTGGGAAAGGCACCGCATGGTACCCCAAGACTGCAACTTGTGGGGGATAGCTTGGGGAACCTGGGGATCACCCGACGTTACCGAGAAGATGTAGGATCGTCGGGCAGAGGGGCTTTCTGGGATTTGTGGGATGATCTATACACAGCGCTGAAATGTTCGGTCGATCCAGACCAGCCACAGCTTGGCAATGACATTGGAAGGATTCCTAGCCTCGAGTAAAGCTTGATGAATCGCATTGCATTCGATAGTAAGCCCCTTATGGGACGTTCTGCCAGACCCCGTCTGGCACCTCGTCATCACTGCCATACCCTTCTTGCTCTACTTCGTCACACGACTCAATGGCTCTGCCTATCCCTCTTTGCATCAGCAACGCCGTGGCTCTCTCGGCTAATGGACCTAGGTAGCAAGACTCCTGGTTTCGGAAGTTGGCTAGCAGACACATGAAGCTGTGCAGAAGATTAGGGATAGAATCCATATCCCCAATCAGTTGTTCTGGTGGTTGCCTGGGCAATAAGTCACAGAGAAAACCTGCAATATCCGATATTTTTTGTTCCTGTTTGTGCATTGAGTGATTAGTTCGTGTCTATAGTTCATCACCGTGCGACATGCGACTTACCATGCCAATACCGTGAGATCCTAAGATCTCCAGTCTGGCAGCGCTGAAGCAATTAAGCAAGTCACGCGCCGCAGCACGTACCGAAGTGGCCGTCCCCCGGCCATGCGACTCGTTGGAACGGATTTGAAGCTGGCAAACGAGAGTTCGGAGCCAACATTGTGTGACCGCCACGTCGACCCTCTGGGTCTCATCAATGATAGACGCCAGAGACATGGTGGAGAATTGATCCGGATCTAACAGTCTAGCCACTGAGTCGTTACTTCCTTTGAGATAACCTTCGCTCCAGGAGCATACAAAATCAGTGTCTATGGTGTTGAACAGCCTTGCCAACTTGACAAAGCCGGACAGCGTTGGCTCATCCGCGCCATCATATATCCTAGGCAAGGCGATGGATGCTCTTAATATGGGCGTTGTTCGGTGCTGAAGGCAGTATGCCCTAGCGCATCAGTCGGCAGCATGTTAGAAGTAGCAGGTTTGGGGGGATTATCTTTGCCTTTCGGTAATGAAAAGCAACCAGTAAAGGCGCCTCCTCCGTTCATTGACTTCCAAGCTCGGATCGCTGTAAGACTCCTCTCGGTTCAGGCCCAACGCTAGAGCGAAACTGATCGCCTCTCTCAAGTGGTACCACGCTTGCTTACTCGTGTTGCAATTCCCATAGTAGGAGAATATGAAAAATGACTCCATAATTGTCCACTCATCCGCATCTTCGATGTAAGACCTGTCATGACGACCAGCGAAACATTGGCTGATTACTTGTCCGCGAGCCGCATGGACAATACCTGTCCAGAAGTCTGAGCGACGTCGAGCCGGTCACGTTCGGGTCTGTGAGATTCAACTGAACAATGACAGCAGCGGACATGGCGGCAAAGAACCTGCCAAGGCTCGGTGACACCAGCCCCTGCGGCAGCGCTAGTTTGCTGAGCAAGCAGCCTGGGTCCATGATGGGAAAGACCGGATACAGTCGTAGAAGAAACACCCTTGTCCAATGGGCGTATTCTGAGACGGGATATGCGGTTGCGATGTTCACTTCCTGGGGTTGTGCCTCCAGACCAGGTTGGTGGCTTTCCAATGAGTTGGACGGAATAGGGAATGGGCCACCCCCGGCTTGTGGCATGCTTTCCGCTGATGCTGTCAAGGTGGAGGCTTCGAGGCTGTTTTCAAACAGAGTGCCAGCACGATTCCAGTGTCTTAGGACTGGCAGTTCGTTCGGAGGAGAGGTGATTGCCACCTTCGAGCCGGAGTCTGGAGGGTTGTGTAGTCCATTTCTGGGTGATGATGAACATGCTGAAGCTAATGATGGCTGGTCCCGTAGTTTAGCCTGCTGGTGCTTCGTCTTGCTGTGCTGTCGATCCTTTCGAGGCGGTCGACCTTTGCGCTTTGGCATAAAGACATACGTGCAGGGTGATTGTGTGTCCCGGCAGGGACGGCACGGCTCTCGTCTGTCGCATTTCATCTTCCGGTATCTGCAGTGGTCGCATGCCCGGCCAGGGGCGGGATGGAGTTGTTTCTTGCCGTCATCTTGAGAACCGATCCTGAAGACGATCATGTCACATACGCGAAGCGGGTTGTTTGAACGTCGAGGAACCGGGCATTGGGTCAATTGGTGGATGTGCGGAGTGTCGCATCAGGCCTGTTCAAGCTCCCTTTTGAGTAAACGCCCGCAGCCAAGTCATGGCCCAGCTCGCTTCCACAGCGGTAGCTAGCGTCCTCGTTTCCCCGCAGAAGTCAGCAGTTAGTGCAACTTCGCCGATGCGCCGATGTGACTTCAAGGGTTGCGGTGATATGAGAAGGCACGTAGCTATGACAGGTCAACTTATTCTCTTTTCATAAAGAAGTACTCTATAATCCACATCATGGTTAGATTGGCTCTGTACTGCAGAAGGTTCAACTGAAGTACGCCGCGTCTGTAGTGTAAAGCTGAGGTGGTCTGCTCGGATGTCTTGAGTCGTCTGATGCTACCGGAAGGATAGTTTTACGGAACAATATTCTTTCCCAATTAACATATACGTCCATCGACCTCCCTGGTAGTTCAAGTGCTCCTCGGCTGAAGTTCTGGAGGCTGTAGGAATGGTGGGGGAGTTCACGCAGAATCGGTGCTTGACTTGTTGACTTCTTTCCACCGGCAATCCCATCATCTCGACATTTCATCAGTGTTTCCAGCCAGAAACGGGATCTAAAAAACCTGATGTCTCCTATAATGTCTTGAACGAAAGACACGACTGTTACGCGATGCAACCTAGGGTCAGCCACAACTCCACCTCCGGCCCATTACTCAAAATGGAAATAAGCCGCACCTACGGCCGCGGCGAAGCCCAAGGCATATCCCCGCACGAGTCTGGGGGCCGGTTAGTTTCCCCATGGGATCCAAAGGCCAGTGTACATTGGTGCTCTTGGATCGTGGTCCCAAGTGCTCATCCCGATAACTATAAAAGCACTTGCCCGCTAGAAGCACAAGTTGAAGGATGGATGTTTACCGACTAAACACCTGGAGACCAGCGACAAATCCCCAGCATCCAATTCAGCTATCAATTAGCAAACAAGCTTCTCAATGGATTCAGAGAAACAAGACCGCCCCAATGCTGAGCATGGAGCTCCCACCCGAGAAGTTGAAGATGCGGCGACCCTCGCTACGCGCCTTGAGCGGCAGATGACTGTTCGTCAGTCTCTGCGTTTCTGGCCAAAGGCTATCATGTTCTCTTTGATCGTTTCTCTTGCAATCATCATGGAGGTGTGTATATATGAATCCAGAGAATCGTTCTTACACTCACTCGTTTTTAGGGCTATGATACCAACTTGATGTCCAACTTCTATCCCTTTCCCATGTTCCAAAAACGCTTTGGCGATCAGGTCGACAAGGATGGGAATCCTCTGATCAGCGCTCAGTGGCAAACCATCATCAACAACTCTGGCCAGGTGAGCTAATTCATTTCCTCCATTCTAATATCATCGGCTAATATGAGACCATTCGCAGGCTGGATCCATCCTTGGCCTCTTCATTAATGGTGTAATCACCGAATGGATCGGATATCGCTGGACGATGCAGGTTGCTATGGTTGCAATGATCGGTGCCATCTTTATTCCGTTCTTCTCGACTGGTCTTCCCATGTTCGTCGCGGGAGCGGTGTGCCAGTCGATCCCGTGGGGCATCTTTCAGACCCTTGCCGTCACTTATGCAGCTGACATCTGCCCTCTGGCCCTCCGCCACTACATGACCTCTTGGGTAAGATGACTGGGCGATAGACCAGTGGTTTACAATATACTGAACAGATGCAGATAAATATGTGTCGGGTCATCGGTCAGCTTATTTCCATTTGGCGTCTTGAACGGCCTCCTTTCACGCTCGGACGAGTGGGCCTACCGCATCCCGTTCGCGCTGCAATGGGTGAGTTCTGAAGCTGAACACCCTGCTTCCACCTTTGAATAAAAGGGCTTACAGAAACAGATCTGGCCTGTTCCCATCATGACTGGGACCTACCTTGCTCCCGAGAGCCCCTGGTGGCTCGTCAGGCATGGACGATACGAGGAGGCGAAGAAGGCTGTCTCCAGCATGACCACCCCGCAGGCTGATGTTGAATTCGACCTCGACGCCCACATCGAGACGATGCGTGTTACAACCCAGTTCGAGAGAGAGAATTCTGCCGGTGCTCACTACTGGGATTGTTTTCGCGGTTCCAACCTGTAAGTGATCAGCCTCGGAACTTGTCCGGTTGTCGGCTGCTGATCAAGTCTCCGACAGTCGGCGCACTGAGATTGCGTGCGTGGCTTGGCTCACGCAGGCATTCGCCGGCACGCCCTTTATGGGTTTCGGCGTCCAATTTATGATCCAAGCCGGCTTGTCTGCTCGTCACGGCTTTGCCATGAATCTCAGACAGACAGGCCTGGGTCTCCTGGGATGTATTCTGGCCATGTGGGTTCTCACGCGATTCGGGCGTCGGACAATTTACCTCGTAGGTCTGGGCTTCGCCTGTGTTGATCTGACCATTATCGGTATCCTTGGAATTCCAACCGAATCGTCATCAACATCTTGGGCGGTCGGCGCCCTCATGGTCACTATGGTTATCTTCTACTAAATTACCATCGGTCCAGCCTGTTATACGATCGTGGCAGAGATTCCGTCAACTCAGTTACGTATCAAGACTGTGGCATTCGCGCGAGCCTGCTACAATGCTGGAGGCTTCATCACCAACGTCATCATGTCACGCATGCTGGGTAAGAACGCCTGGAACTGGGGTGCCAAGAGTGGCTTCTTCTGGGCAGGCCTTGCGGGTCTCTTCTTCGCCTGGACATGGTTCCGTCTGCCCGAAGCCAAGGGTCTGACTTACGCGGAACTGGACTTGCTGTTTGAACACAAGACAAGGACTCGTGGGTTCTCTCAGCAGGCGGCGGACATGCTTAAGCCAGAGCTCGAGGAAGTCGGCACCAGAAAGCCTCTCAGTTGAAGAGCATAGTGTCGCCTCATGGCATGTTTCAATCAACGCCAATCAAGCACAAGGTACTTTATCAATAGTTCAGCTCAAGTGGAAAGATCTACCTCTTTGCCACATGTTTGCGGAAGAGCGACAAAATGATTTATTATACCATTTAGCATGAGGCGCGTCGTCTGTTCTGTGATTTTAGTTGGGCATGAGAAACACTGAACGCGGAAACACTTGAGACGAGCAGTGTTATGGAACTTAAACCTAGGGACAAACAACGCCCTTTGAGGCAGTTACTTCATGATCAAGTGGTCTTCCCTACCAAGGACGCTGCCTGCAAATTTGCCCGCCGAAATGAGTTTCATCACCGATCGGCCCTTTAGACCAGCGGTTCCAAAGCTCCTCGTTGACTAACTTGAACCGCAGGGACATCTCGAACGAGGCTCACCCACTTTGGTAACACCGACGCGGCCACCCATTTCCCATGGAACTGTGCCTTGACGTGCAGTGGAAGCTGCAAATCGGCCACCGGTTCTCGAATTCTTTCGTGTCCAGCACAACCAAGTCATTGCGGTTCGCACCACGGCGCACCACGGCACTCAACCATGGAAATGACCCAGCCGTCGCCCTCAGACGCATCCGGGCTCCGCGGTACAAAGACGGGCTCCTACACGAGCGGAGTCATCACCGGCATAAAACCAGCGGGTTTTGCCAGTCTTGTGGCTGTGCATGGCCAGGCCATTGAGGCCGTGGAAGATGTTTCTGCCGCCGTCTGACCTGTTGGGCATGAAGACGTTGAGGAAGATGTATTTATAGTTGGACGTCATGAAGAATTCGTCCATTCGCGGGAACTCAGAAGGCACGTCTAGAATGACGAAGGGTCCTGGTATTGTAGAGCCGCTGGGCTGACTGAGTTCCATCTCCCAGGGCACAAAGTCGGCCTTGGCGTCGGGCGCTGGCATTCTCTTGTCGCTGGGAGGGTTGGTGGCTTGCAAAACTCCTCCTCGACAAGGCAACGCCCTCGACAGCAGAAGAGGGCGGGAAAGCCTTCAACCGGGACTCCATGGAAGGCGTCAATGACTTTGTTAGGAGGTTGGCCGAGTTGCGCATGGAGTAACCGTTCCGCCCGACGCAGAGGGCCCGAGCGACATGTATATCATCTTTTTACCTCTCTAGTTAACGAGAGACGTGGCGATGTCTAACTGGCACTGAAATAGAAACCACCAAACTGTAAGTGAAAAAAGCGGAATGGAACTTTCCAGGTGATGTGGGTATACATCGTTTCATCCGAAAGTCAACCTTGTGATAGGGCAGACGAACATGCTTGGTTAGGGTCCTGGTCGTAGCTTCGGCGATTGCAAAAGTATAATAAAAACTGTCCTCGACTAAAAGATTCCGCCTGTTCATGCCGGGCCACCCGGGCCTCCCGGGCTCGGCGCAGGGGCGGAGAATATGCCCGCAGAAAGTGGCAGCGGATCACGGCGCCACATGCCGAACGAGCTGCCCAAGAGTAGAAGACCATCGGTTCTCGATCTCCCCTGGAAAGGAGCGCCGTATTCAGTGAAGCAACCAAGAGATCCCGGGCCCCGATCACCACGGTCTCGTGATCTTGGAGAGGGGTAGTCCGGCTGGGACGATGAGGCCACGTCAAGCGCTTCAATACCTTGGGCTGCTAATGGGTAGTGCCGCCTCGCGATGCAACCCCCAGACGGCGCTTTCACGGCTGAGGCGTGCCGGATCGCCCAGCGCTCCTGGCATGAGACGTCATTGCCGTGACGTTGCGGTTCGCACTAATTGGTGCGGGAATGTCTTGCAGAGGCGAGTTAGGAAGTCGATTACGCCTGTTTCTGTGTTTGCTTGTTCGTATACATAGTACATGTAGACATGGGCGATGTCACGTCGGCAGGTAAGTAGGCATCGTCGGCGACGCGGTGTGCTCTATTGCCCCGCGACGCTCGTGACGAACAGACTCCGGGTACAGGAAGGTGTCCAGCCTGAATGCGGACCATAAAAGAGAGTTGATATCCCGGCCACAGACTCACAAGAGTCCGGTAAATCCAGGCTCACGAGGTCTTTCGTCGTGGCCTTTCTCAACCTCCAAGTCTCCTCATCATGCAGTTCTCGCAGCGAAACGCTCGCCCCTCTTGGGCCCTCGCCCTGGGTCTCGCGACCTCAGGCGCGCTCGTGGCCGCCGGACCCTGCGACAGCTACGCCAAGGGCAACACGCCCTGCGTCGCGGCGCACAGCACGACGCGCGCCCTATACGACGCCTTCACGGGGTCCCTCTACCAGGTGAAGCGCGGCTCGGACGGCGCAACCACCGACATTGCACCCGTGTCGGCCGGCGGCGTCGCCGATGCCGGCCGTCAGGACAGATTCTGCGCCGGCACGACGTGCGTCATCACGGTCATCTACGACCAGTCCAAGAACAACAATCACCTGACGCAGGCGCCGGGGGGCGACTTTGCCGGCCCAGAAGCCAACCGCGCCGACAACCTGGCGAGCGCCATCGGGGCGCCGGTGCAGCTCTTTGGTAACAAAAAGGCGTACGGCGTCTTCATCGCCCCGGGCACGGGGTACCGCAATAACGTGGCGCAGCGCACGGCGCGTGGTGATGCGGCACAGGGCATGTACGCCGTGGTCGACGGTACGCACTTCAACGGCGGCTGCTGCTTCGATTACGGCAACGCCGAGACGAGCACGAGCAACACGGGCAACGGGCACATGGAGGCCATCTACTTTGGCGACAGCACGGCGTGGGGCTCCGGCTCCGGGAGCGGGCCGTGGGTCATGGCCGACCTCGAGAACGGCCTGTTCTCGGGCCACAACGCCAAGAAGAACGACGCCAACCCGTCGCTGTCGCATCGCTTCGTCAGCGCCGTCGTCAAGGGAGGGCCCAACAAGTGGGCCGTCCGCGCCGGCGACGCCACGGCCGGCGACTTGTCGACCTTTTACAGCGGCGTGCGGCCCGCCGGCGGCTACGATCCCATGAAGAAGGAGGGCGCCATTATACTCGGCATTGGTGGCGATAACAGCGTCAGCGCCCAGGGCACCTTTTACGAGGGCGTCATGACGTCGGGCTACCCGTCCGACGCCACGGAGAAGGCCGTCCAGGATGACATCGTCGCGGCGGGCTACAAAGTCGCGCCGCTGTCGTCGGGGCCCCAGTTGTCCGTCGGCGCCCGCGTCTCGCTGCGCGCCACTTCGTCCTGCTGCACGACGCGCTACCTGGCGCACGCGTCGACGGGTACCGGCGTCGACACGCAGGTCGTCTCTTCGTTGAGCGCCGAGACGCTGCGGAAGCAGGCGACGTGGACGGTGCGCACCGGCCTCGGCAATAGCGGCTGCTTCTCCTTTGAGTCGGTCAGCAACCCCGGCAGCTTCATCCGCCACCACAACTTTGCGCTCCGGGTCGACGTCGACGACAGCAGCAAGTCGTTCCGCGAGGATGCCACCTTTTGCACTGAGGCGGGTCTCAACGGCCAGGGCAGCTCGATCCGCGCCTGGGGCCACCCCACGCGGTACATTCGTCACTTTGCCAATGTCGGATATGTGGCCAGTAACGGCGGCGTTCACACCTATGATGCTGCTCGTGAGTTCAATAACGACGTAAGCTGGGTGCTTGGTGCTGGACTATCCTAGTCGGTGGCCATTCCCTTCGACCAAGGCGCCTGGAGAAATGAAGCAGACCTACTTACCGTAAAAAGACATATCGTCAACATTGGCGTTGGGCACACCAACCGGGTTTGATCGATTGAATTAGATCTATATGCTTGTGATACCCTGCTGGACGTTTTGGCTTCCATTGTTGCCTCCAGTTCATGCCACGCTGTCGTTTCCTCGTCATCTCGTAGCACCTCAGACGCTTCTCTTGTCCAAGAAGTTGACCCATTCACACTTGCAACCTCCGTCTCCTCCGTCAAAGCCCCCAAACGAAGTGTCGTTTCTCGCTCTGGGGTTCACCAGCGTCCCTCCAAACCCAATGTTGTTCGCAATGAGCTTGGGGTCGCTCGTGTCGATCCTCTGCCGGCTGTCAACCTTCCAGTGCCACACCACCTTCTCAAGAGGCTGGCCTCCGTGCGTATCCATTGTCACGGTGATGGGGTACGGCATCGTCCCCGGCCGGTCCGTCGCCTCGCCCGACCCAGTATCAAATCGACCCCGCTCAGACAGCAGCTGCGTCGTGTTCTCACGGCGCGTCCAGATCTGAACGAGGAACCGCGTCTGCGTCCAGGTGACGATGAAGCTCGCCTCTGAAAGACGGGCGCCGCCCTCTTCGTCAAGCGGCACATTGCTCTCGCCATCACCTCCTCGGGCAGGGTCCGTTCCGTTGAGGACTGTGACGGAGCGCAGGTAAATGCTGCGTGTGAAATAGGTGTAGAAGCCGTAGTGCTCTGTGTCAAGGCCGCGGTCGTACAGGCGGATAGGCTGCTGAAAGGATTTTGGCATGAAAGTGGCTGGCGCCGCGCTACCATCCTCGTTGAGCTCGGGCTCAGGAAGTTCGACGGGAAAGTCGGACGGCAGGTTTGAGTCCTGTCGCTTGCTGAGCACATTTGGCCCAACCGTGCTGTTTACTGTGTCGAGGATGCTGAAGTAAAATGGCGTCGGTTCGCCGGCCTTGTCGTCGGAGATGATGCCATCTGTCGTGTTACCCAGAAAGTACATTTCTTCGAATGATGGGGGCGCCGGACTAGGATTGAAGGCTTGACCATCTTGCCGCTTCCTGAGGGCTGCTCGAGCTCTGGCGATGATGCCACCGCCTCCTCTTGGCTCGCGCGTGCGACCTCGATCTGGTCGCGGGGGGCTGCCATTGGGAATGTTCCAGGGCTCACTCGTGTCGTTGTTGTACTGGATCTGCATGAAGAAGCTTGGCTGGTTGGGCCGGAAAGGGGCAACAGAATCGTGCTCTTCTTTGGGAAGTGCACAGCTCCATATCGTCGTGGGCTGTGTACAGCCTGTTATGGCAGCCGAGTTGTCTGGTCCAATTACTGTGAGCGGGCCCGTGGGCATCGGCGGGAAGTCGGTCAGGTTGACGAAGATGCTTGGCACCTCAACGACATTCTTACCACGCGGGATCAAGGTGACACAAAGAACGACAACGAGAACAATGAGAAGAATGGAGCCACAGCAGACACCGAGGCAGACACGTCTCCTTTTCCGACCTTCACGACCAGAGCGACCGAAACAACCGTTGGACGGCATGCACCCACGGCCGCGCCAGAAGCCACCGATCTTGCGGGCGACGACCTCTTCCTTCTCGTGTCGGCGCCTCTCGCGCTCGACCTCTTGGCCGGGCCCAGCGGCGGCCGTAAAGTGTTCCTGAGGCAGATAGGTGCCAGGTTGTCGGGTTGGCATAGTCGAGGTGCCTGTGGCTGGGGTGAGTGGAATGTCGGTCAAGGAGATACCGCCACGAGAGCTCATTGTTCCATTGATCGCAGGGGACGCAGGGTTCGGAGAAGAAGGATAGAGGCTCTGGAGGGGATGGCCTGTGGGGAATACGGCTCGGTATCTGACTGCGTCTTGCTTGTTAGGCGGTGAATATGGCGGGGGCTGATCTGAGGGAGTTCGAAGGCCTTGTGGCGTATTCATCGTCTTCTCAGTCTGTTCCGCAAGCCGTGGGGTACCTGACCTCGACGAAGAAGCAGGCGATGGGGTACGCGCATTCAAGAAGGGGGATGGAGTTCTTCGGGGGGTAGGGATCCTGACTATAGGCGTGTGGTCATGTCGGGGCGAAGGCTTTGGAGATGCTGGTAGTCCAGGTATAAATGTCGAAGAGGGCGGATCGTCCAACTTGAAAGACTGTGCAACCTGAGTCTTTTCGGCGTTCGGCTTGGAGAGTGAATCAGGTGATAGGCTGCCTTTCGGGAACCGTGACTCCTGAGCTTCACGAAGAGGGCTCGTCTTCTCGGTGAATGGGGTGACGATGGTATCCCACCACCCCCGCGTCTGTGTTTCAGCGCTGGAAGGGCTCTTGGAAACACCCTTTGCCTTGTTGGTCTTGCTAGTAGTGACAGCCATACTGCTTCCATCCTCTTCAAACAGTGTGCAGAGACTGCCACCGTCGTTTTCGTCGTCGTCGTCTTTTTGTTGAAGCACAACGGGCCACAGCAACCTCTGGTGTTTTGAACGTCGAAGGCACAGCAGGCACAGGCGGGGCGTCATAGGCAATAGGTGCCCCGTAACTGGTAGCCTGTGAATAGATGCTTGATGTGTGTCGAGGTGACTGGAACGGTGAAGTGGTGTCAGGGGTATCAGGGCTCCACACGGACCGTTGCTGTGAAGGAGTCATGGGGCTGGTCGTGTTTCCAGGCTGCTGCGGTTTTGCTGGGTGGCGCAAGTGAGGATGGGGAGTTGGTGCCTCCAAGGGTGTGGCAAGCATGTGTGCATGGGCATCCGTGTTGCCGTTGCCACGCTGGGCTAGGTCCGAGGGAAGAGCGATGCCGATGACAATGGGGCGATCGTTTGGGGAGAGGTCCTGTTCGAGGGGGCTCCGAGTGGTGGCGCTTTGAGGGGATTTGGTCGTGTTCTTCCTGGAGAACCAGTTCCAGTTGCCTACAGAGGCGGACGACGGCTCACCTTCGAGTGCCTTGAGGGCGGCAGCATCCACAAACTTGCCTCTCGCGCGATGTGGGCTGTTGGCCAGATGGTTTTGACGACGGAGCTCGGCCATGTTGGTCACGACCTTGATGCCGGCTTTGGCATTTTGGTCCCTCTGCCTGTGGCGGGATTTCAGTCTCCTCAGCCTGTGGACGGATTGTCGTGACAGTGATACGCGGGAGGTGGTAGGCTTCGAGGGCCTGAGAGGACTGGGCATGGCGGCCTTGTCGGCGATGAGGGCCTGCTCGTCGTCCATGATAGGCGTCACCACTTCTTCATCCTCCCAGTCTTCCCAGTTGTCCCTTCCGCCGTCGCTCCGGCTGTCCTCGTCATAAGCGGGTGGTCTCGGCGAAGAGCTGTTGGTGGCCATGTTCTTGTGTAGGTAAGGTAGTGAAGGGGTTGGTTTGTGATGAAGGACCGTAAGCAGAGCAGCACGCAGCGATCCAACTCGAGGCGGATGCACGAATTTGATGGAAAGAATGAATGGATTGTTTTGCTTGGGATGTCGAGAGGCGAAGGGTCAGAGGCTGGTTGAATGATGAGACCAAGCGTATCGGCAGTGGCTGTGGATTAAAAGAGTGACAGTATCGAAGCAGAATAGACAAAGGAGATTGGATCACCAAGGAGGAAGGCCCAAGGAAGCAACGCGTCTGGCGGAAAAAGAAGACCAACAAGAACAAGAACAAGAACAAGAAGAGAGCGTTGTTCACGAACAATAGTCACAATAGAAGGTCTGGAGGCAGCAACTGAATAGCCTTTGCATCAAGACGGGGCAATGGAGAACTGATGAATGGCTGGCCAGGCGGGTTCATCCACTTCGACGCACGACAGCCAACGAGCGACGAAGGCGCGGCAGGAGCAGCTTGGCTCTCATTTGACGGCTGGCGGCGACCTTGCCTCGATGCGCCGGATGCCATCACGACTCTCGAAGATGTATGGCTGGCTGGTGTTGAGGGCGTATGAGCAAGCGCCGACAACAAGGCAAGGAGCCTCGTTGATTGGCTCTCGTGGCGCCGGGCTCCTAGGAGCAACGTAGTTTGGCAATACGAACTACGTGTTGCGGGTCCGCTCGTGAGAAAGTCTTGGCGATGAGACAGATCTACGTTTGCGATGCATCGTTCGTCTGGAGGGACGCCTGGGCCCGGTGAGGGGATGAAGGCGAGGAAGAATTGACTGACGATTGTTGAGGAGTGCGTCGCTGCCTCGAGGAACGCGAGGTCACGTGGTGTCGACGCAGGTACGCACGTAGCCAGGTGCGGGGTACGGGTGTACATGGTAGGCGTGGCAGGTGCAGTGAAACACCAGACTCTGGAATACCTACCTAGGTAGGTAGGTACCGGTCTACTATGAATGGGTATCTCGAGGTACCTACCTAGGTAGCTCTGATCAATAGAGCCTCTCGTTACCTCCCTTACTCAGATGTCCTCTGTTGCACCTCAATCATCAATCCAATTGTCGACCATACCCACCACACCGGCAGCTCCAAATCAAAGCCGACAAACAATGTCATCCTTGCGAGACTCCAATGGGCGCTCGGTCTGCCGTGCCGCTTGTGTGTCCCACCTGTCAGGGTCTTGCCATGGCATCCCTGTCCTGCCATTGTCAGTGAGACTGTTTCGTTCTCAGTTCAACAGCCATTTGAGTAACCCAGGATTGGATTACCCTTGGCAATCCCTTCACTTTCTCTTGCCTGGACACAAGAGCGTGTTGGTATCTTTACTCGCAGGCCGACGAACATGTTTGCTGATCTCGACCTGGACATTGACTTCACTATAGAGGCTTCACTATAGGGTGTACCATGTACCTGACATGTACCGAGCAAGCACTGCGGGCAAACGGGAGGACCCCTGAACCTGAGTGACTGGCAGGTTCCCCAATCGCAGCCGCCGCTCCGGGCGATGGTGGCTCGCCCCTATTAGCAAGGAGCCTTTTGGCTGGCCGTCTCGGCTCCTTTGCTAGGTACCTGGGGAGGTACCTGCCTGCTGTACCTAGACCCTCAGAAATCGCCCGAGCACTAAACCTACCGCATGGAGAAGACAACACCTAGCCCAAAAGCAAAATCGCCAAAGACTATTACTCGAGATGACATGAGCGAAAATACGACCGGCCTTGTCTTCCCGTCTTCGTTGACCCTCCATCCGTCATGTCTCGGTCCCCTTGGCAAACTTTGACACTCGATTGAGAGAAAGCCCCCGACAGCCACAAAACGAGCCCGCTCCAGCCAAGAGATCTACATGTACCACGCTCATTATCTCCATAACCATCACCATCGACAGCATCACCTCCCAAGTCCTGCCCAGGCATCGCCTGAAATCTGTAACTGCTAGTCTCGCACGGCCGTACATCACAGACGACTATCGGCCACCACTACCACCTCCGCCGACACTCCTCACCAGTGGCACTGGTGCTGCCGCCGCCTCGAGTCCATCGATCCATCCTAGCACGTAGAATCGCTTTGCGACTGGCGCACCACAGAAGATCGTCGCCCTTGCTTCAACGCACCGCCCAAACGCCTTACCGTGGCCAAGGCCCCGAAACCAAAAAGGAAGAAAAAAAAACCCACTACGACCAAATCCAACCCCCCCACCACCTCTTATTTCCATCCCATCTCCTCTTCCCGTCTCGTTGTCACCTGGAGGATCCCCGTCCTCCGGTAACAACACCCGCATTCCACCAACCTGGCGCCTCCATCCCCCCCAGCCGCCTCGTCCTCGTCCTCCGTGTCGTCGGCCAACGATCGACGACCCCCCGCTTCTCATCAACGCCGTCGCTCCTCCCTCAGCTTGGGCATTGACGTCGCCTCCGCTGAACGCCGCGGCCCCCAGTACCTGGGGGTGCAGGGCCAATCTTCAAACCTGCCGCCCATACCAGGTACGTGCCCAACACTGTCGCCAATGTCGTTCGTCCCAACCGCGTCTCCCTTGGTTTTCTCCTCCCTCCGCACAACCTTCTCGTGTCTGACAAGATTTCGCTTGCTGACGTTGTGTCCCCTTTCTTTCCTGCAGGCACCCCCGCCGAGCCCGATCCCATGTCTCTCTCGCGCAGCCCGTCACCCCATCCCGGCGGCGGCTGGGCGAGTCCCGGCCTCAACTACAACAGCGGTCGCAACAGCCCGACTGGCTCCTTTCCCTTCGCCTCGCCCGGCGGCATCTCTGCGCCATGGGAGGCCACCAAGATGAGGACTCTCGGCGTCACTGGCTACCCGTCCTTCTCGACGCACAACCAGGGCTTCTTCCAGCGTCACATGCGCCGCATCTCGAGCAGCCTGCCGCGCTTCGGCCAAGCAAGTCAGCCGCCGTACGGAGGTTTCAAGGACAAGCAAAACCATGGGCCATGGTCCGTACAGAACCTGCCTCTCGTCGGGAGGATGCAGAGGCGGGCCGCTCGCATGAAGAGGAAGACAAAGATCCGTCTGGCCATACTCTTCTTCATACTCTTCGCCGTCTGGGTCTTTTATCACAGTCGTAAGTCGAGGCCAGCCTCTGTCTAGGCGCATGCATCGGCAGCTAATAGTTCGGGCAGCTCTCGTCTACCACTGGCGACGGACGTCATGGCTCGGCGGAGGCCAAAAGTACGTTATCGTTCTGGCGGCGAATGTCGGAGGCGGCGTCATGGAATGGAAGGGCGCGCGAGAATGGGCGATAGAGAGAGACAGCGTCAAGAACAAGAAAGCGTACGCCGCCCGGTGGGGCTACGAACTGGAAATCGTCGACATGAGCACCAAGAAGCGATATGCGCACGAGTGGCGCGAGGGCTGGGAGAAGGTTGACTACGTACGCAATGCCTTGAGGAAATACCCAAAGGCAGAATGGTAAGTGGCTTTCGTTCACCGTTTGATTGTCTCGGCTAACGTGGCATCACAGGGTCTGGTGGCTGGACCTCAACACCTTCATCATGGAGCCCTCGTACTCACTGCAGAGCCATATCTTCAACAACCTTGCGAAGAACACGTATCGCGACATTAACGAATTCAATCCCCTCAACATTTCGCATCCCTTCGCCGAGGAATATCTCGACCCCTTGTCCCGCAGCCCCGTGGGCGACGGCAAGCCGGAATCTATCAACCTTATCCTCTCCCAGGACTGCGCCGGCTTCAACCTCGGTTCCTGGTTCCTGAGGCGTGGCGCCGTCTCGGACCAGCTCATGGACATCTGGTGGGATCCCGTCGCCTACGAACAGAAGCACATGGACTGGACGCACAAGGAGCAGGACGCGCTGCAGCAGATGTACAGCACGCAGCCGTGGGTGCGTCAGCACACGGCCTTCCTCCCACAGCGCTCGATCAACGCCTTCCCCGCCGGCGCCTGCGGCGACGACGGCAAGGACCCGCGCTACCATTACAGCCAGGACGAGCGCGACTTTGTCGTCAACATGGCGGGCTGCGAGTGGGGCCGCGACTGTTGGGGCGAGATGTTCCACTTCCGCCAGCTGAGCTATTACCTGAACCGCAATCTCTGGGAGCGCTTCAAGGAGGACCTCATTGCCGTCCTCTGGTTCAAATTGACGGGTCAGCACGTCAGGCTGTGAGGGTTGCGGGGGGGGGCCATCCACGTGTTCTTACATTTTATCCCTTTTATTTCCCCCCTTTCTGCATCCAGCCAATGCTGGGGAGTTTTCCGCGGCTGGCCAACTGCCGTTCTTTTTTTTTTCTTTTTTTTTTGTTTATTTTGCATCTCAGGGGTGTTCTTTCATGCATTGGGTTCTGCCGTCTTGGCGCGTTTTCGTGGTCATCTTGTATACCCCCTCCCTTTTCCCCCTCTGGTTCATGTTACGCCCTGGGATTTCACGGGGTTCACTCCCAGTTCTCTTTTTTTCCGGGCCTCGGTTGCAATGTCATGACAGGCATGAATGGACGTAGAAGGTATCATGGATAGACGGTGGTTTTAAGCGAGCTCGTTACTCGTTAAGAAGAGGAGGAGACGGGGGATATTTCGCGGTGTTGTAGCTTTTACGAAGGGGCGAATCGACGACTTGTTGTACATGAGGTGACACTGCCGTGATTTGGCAGATGTGGCAGGCAGCTTGACGGCCGTGACAGGGGATGTTGTGTAACTGTGTGAGATGATGGGACAGTGGTTGCTGTTGCGTCAGGCTTGGTAGTGGTGCAGGTCCTGCGAGAGAAGCGGTTGCACATGCCTAATGAGGCGAGTGAGTGGGGGTGTACGAACTGATGGCTGTCGTGTATTCTAGTGGTCCATCAAGGATCATGAGCAAGAGTAAAAGTCCCCGTATAGTACGGGCTGATATTTCTGTCTTGCGGTCTAGCTATTGGCGTCGTCCCTGGGCACCCGGACCTCTGGCTCATGGTCCATTAAGCGGTCATTCGGAATCGTGACCGGGATATCCAGTCAGGAAAACCAGATACTCCGCTGTTCATATGGCTGCTGAGGGATGTGCTCGGAGAATAAGGAGCTCCTCATGGCCAATAGTCATTCTTCAGTGTGGCGGACGAATCGTTTCTTCAAGCGAACAAGTGGGTCATGTTCGGATATTCTTGGTGAGCGTCTCGGAAGTATGATTCGGAAGCATTTCTCGGATGTATACTCCTTCCTCATGGCGTTCATTGGGTCCACACGCAAGGAGGAGGGGTTCGTCATCAGCCTAGCTTCTCTCCTTGGCTTTCCATCCAGTGTTCTGAGTGACGATCCATCGCTATTCCATACGGATTATTTCGGTTTCATCTCGACCGATGCTGTGAATACTTGCACCGAGTCCATGGATTCCCCGGATCGGAGACTGAAGAGGAGGAGGGGGCCATGACGCGACCTCGACAAATAGGTCCATGAACCCGATGGCGGCTCTCAGTCGACCTTTCCTCCTACATCATCCACATCACCTTGGGCCGAGTTGCAGTCTCCTTCCTCACACTTGAACCCGCTATCATGTCGTTACCAACCGTTACAGACGTCCGCTTCGAGCATCACAGACCAGGCCAGGCTCTCGGAGTCGACGACACCAGGCCGCGCTTATCATGGCGCTTCGCAGAGACCCCGAACAACTTCTCGCAGGAATGATACGAGGTCAAGATTGAACGCATCATCGGCGCCCAAGTCAACCACCTCGGCAGCGTCAAGGTCATCTCCCCAGAATCCCGCCTCGTGCCCTGGCCGCTCGAGCAGCCGCTGGCCTCCCGCACGCGATGCAGCGTCAGCGTGCGCGCCCGCCAACAGGCACAGCAGGAACACACCGCCTGGAGCGATCCCGCTATCCTTGAGACGGGACTCTTGCATCGGAGAGACTGGTCGGGGCAGCTGATCTCTGCGCCGTGGGCCGGCGACGACATTGAGACGCCCCTGCCCGAGGATCTCTTCCGGAAGAACTTTACGTTTGACGCGCCGGTGCAGTCTGCGAGGCTTTACATCACGGCGCTGGGCGTGTATGAGGCTGAGATCAACGGGACGAGGGTCGGCGATCACTTTCTCGCGCCGGGCTGGACGTCCTATGACGCCCAGCTGATTTACCAGACACATGACGTGACGGATCTTCTTTCTTCGCGGGACAATTGTCTCGGCGTCCGCGTTGCCGAGGGTTGGTTCAAGGGACGTATCGGTTTCGAGGGCGGCCGCCGTAATATCTGGGGGCCGAGAACCGCCGTATTGGCGCAATTGGAGATTATCTTTGACGACGGCTCGACTCGTACAATCACCACCGACGACACCTGGACCGTCAACAAAGGCCCGATCCAGCGCTCCGAGATTTACGACGGCGAACTGTACGACGCGACGGCCAAGGTACCGGGCTGGTCGATCCCTGGCTTCGAAGCCAAGGGATGGGCCGCAGTCGATACCCTGCCCCCGATCGCAGATACCGTCCAGTTCCATGCGGGTGACGCCGAGCCGGTTCGACGGCTCGAAATCGTCAAGCCCAACGAAAAGATTACGACCCCGTCCCCGGAAGACGGTGCTTGACTTTGGGCAGAACCTCGTTGGCTACCTTCGGGTCAACAAAGTCAGAGGTCCCCGCGGCCACAAAATCACCCTGCTGCACGCCGGGGTTCTCGAAAAGGGCGAGCTCGGCATCCGGCCGCTGCGTGACTGCAAGGCCCGGGACATCTACGCCCTCCGTGGTGATGAGGCCGGCGAATCGTACGAGCCTCGCTTCACCTTCCACGGCTTTCGCTATGCCCAGGTCGACGACTGGCCATCTGCAGATATTGACATCCTCGACTCACTCGAGGCTGTGGTCTGCAATACCGACATGGAAGAGGCGGGAAACTTCACCTGCTCCGACGAAATGCTCAACAAGCTGTACTCCAACGTCCGCTGGGGTATGCGGGGCAACTTTCTTTCGGTGCCGACCGACTGTCCCCAGCGCGATGAGCAGCTGGGCTGGACCGGCGATCTCGCCCTATTCGCGCCGACGGCGACCTTCATCTACGATTGCACGGGGATCCTCAAGAACTGGCTCCGCGACTTGTGGGACGAACAGAAGCGGCAGGACGGCGTGCCGCCCATGGTCGTGCCGAACGTCGTTCAGGGGCACTTTATCTGGGGCAAGATCTGGCCGGCTGCCATCTGAAATGACGTGACCATCCTCGCGCCTTGGGCCCTCTGGGAAGAGACGAATGATCTGAACGTGCTCATCCCGCAATATGACTCCATGGTCGCTTGGCTTGACCAATTCCGAAGAACAAAACTGGCAGTGTACATCTGTGGGATTTTGCCGCCCCTCAACTTGGTGTAAGTCGACTGACTACTGGACATGTGGTGGTGTGATTATTTGCTGATCTTTTCAGGACTGGTTGGACCCAAACGCGTCCCCTCATGAGCCCTGGAAGGCCGTGACCGACCCTCCTCTGGTCGCCAATGCGTTCCTCATCTACTCTCTCGACGCCATGTCACAGATCGCCGGCTTGCTAGGCAAAGAGCTCGATGCGACCCGTTACCGTCAAGAGGCCGCCGCATGCCGTCTCGAGTTCGCCGCCGAGTACGTGTCGCCAAACAGCCGCCTCCCGTCGGACACGCAGACTGTCTACGCTCTCGCCATCACATTTAACCTCCTGACACCCGCTCAACTTGGCCGCGCCGGTGACCGCCTTGCCGAGATTGTCCGGCGCAACACGTTCCGCGTCGGTACCGGCTTCGCTGGCACCCCGTACATCTGCGAGGCGCTGGCCCAGACGGGCCACTCCGACGTCGCGTATGCCATGCTGACTGAGCGGGCGTGTCCGTCGTGGCTGTTCCCCGTCACCATGGGCGCGACGACCATGTGGGAGCGCTGGGACAGCATGCGCCCCGACGGCAGCGTCAACCCGGGCGACATGACGAGCTTCAACCACTACGCGTACGGCGCCGTGGCCAAATTCATGGTCGAGCGTCTTGCCGGTCTCAAGCGGGCGGAAGCTGGGTGGAAGAGAGCAAGGACGGAGCCAGAGGTTGGTGGAGACTTCACGTGGGCGAGGGCAGAGCATCTGACGCCCTATGGACGGATCGCCAGTTCGTGGCGGCTCGAGGGCAACGAGGGCAACTTGACGCTTACCATTGACGTGGTTGTGCCGCCGACTACGGAGATGGAGGTCGTGATCCCTGGCGACGAACCGAGGACCGAGATTGTCGGCTCGGGAGAGTGGTCGTTCAGCGTACCGTTTACGAGGCGGTATGAATGGCCTGTCAAGCCCATCTCGGCCATGCCTGTCTGAGACGCGGTTCTTTATGTGGTGTCTCATTCCGATGATCCGGCAGAGTTTGGGCTCCTATCCCAAGGTCACAAATATCTCGGGTACCTTCGTGGCGCTCCAAGTGCGTTACGTTGAGTTTACCAAAAGCCTCTGTAGATATATGCGTACATATATGAAGGAAGTCGTACTTATTCTGTCCATGAAAGCCCATGCTTTGCATGCTGCAATCCTTGAAACCATATGACGACCGGAAGAACTACCTCATGATGCCTGCCGCAACCTGGTCAGATCTTCCAAACGAGCTCCGGTGGGTCATCTTCAACTTGGTAAGGAAAGGTCACGAAACGCTAGAATCAAACCCCCACGAGCGAGCCGCCTACGCGACGATGTTCAGGCAATGCCAGGCCGTCTGAAAGCCGCGAGACGAAGCAGGAGACCGCCCGCGCGTTCCTCTAGGCGCTGGCGAGACTGCTGAAGCTGCTCGCACCATGGTCGACGTCGCCCGAGCGCCGCGGCGGCCTGGCGCTGGATCTCGCCGTATACTCGCCCAGCGACGCGAAGCAGACGTCCAACGAACTTAGCTTGACGGCACACTATGCATTTACGGCCGGCATCACGCTGCCCATGAAGCACGTGCGGGCTCCGCGTCCCGTCCGGCGAAGACGCGTGCCGGGTCAGATGCAGCATCCTCGACAGCAGACACAGCACTGCGGCAGGCACGGCAGGAGGCCGCGGACCTTCGCCACCGTCTGCGGCCCGGGGTGTCCCACTTTGTTTAAGATCATCCGCGTCACTGGAGAGGAGCAGAACATGCCCCCAACGCCTCGTCACCAAGCTCGTCATACGGCGCCAGTCCCACCGCCCCGTCGGCTCGGCCTCCATCGCCAGACTCATCAGCACGTGCCTCGCGAACCTCGACGCGCTGCACAGCCAGCGCTGGCACTGCAGGAACGCCTCCAGCGGTGATCAGTTGTACGGCGAGTCCCTCAAGAGACTGTACCTCTTCAGCGAGGCGGAGGCCGAAACGCAATAGATAAGTCCCTCCGCTGGCCCCTACGCCCTTGACCCAGCGGATATGCTCTGCAAGAAGGCGTTGACGCTGTGAAGCCAAAGATAACCCTCTTCCTCGACGCGATGGACTTCTCCGTGTACCTTTGGTTCAAGCCGCGCCGGGGGTCTCAAGCTCGAGTACCTCGTCTGACGTCGTCCCTCAG